AACATCATGATCACAAAGACTGATGATTATAGATCTTCCGTCTGAAGGTAGAATCAGAAACCAATCATGTATAGCCAAGAGGAGCTCAGCTTGTCAGCACCACTAGGGTTTTGAACGCCACAAGCCTTCCTAACCATCACAGCCAGGAGGTTCCCATCTCACCTTTACTTCTCGAGCAGTTTTGCCATCCGCATGATACGCGTCTTCTTCTGCCTGACATGAATATTCACAACTTTTCACACCACTTCACACACACCTTTTGGTAGGTGCCTTGAACATATTAGGTGCTCAGAAAATACCTGTAAAATGGAAGGTAATACAATAACTTGTATAAGGTTATTTGTGTTATACCTGGCACACAATTAGTACTCCTTAAATGTTACAGTTATTAATATAATAAATAAATGAAAACAGGTGATATATTTTTGTGCTGAATTCTATGGTGTTGCACTCAATTCTGTTCTATTCACATCTTTTTCTTAAAAAAAATATGAATCATTCCCAGAGTCGATATTTAATTTTATTTTCCAAAAGGTACCAGAAAATTTCAAAAAGAGGTTTAATTTTTATTCTTAGATTATGCATTTTGTAGCCACAGATTGCATGTTTGCCAACACAAAAATGGTATAAAACAAACTAATATGCCTTTATATATTATTGCAAATACCAGTACCTGAGTTAAATAGTGGCTTTCAAATTTCAGGAATTTCTGTAAACACATATGTATATGAATACTAGGGGAAGCCCTAATCATGTGAAATTCAAGATTTTCTCACTTCCAAGTCAATAGTGTAGGTCAATGAGTCATCCTTGCTTCCCCAGAATTTTATTTACAAGTAGAAATTGCTCAGCATCTTCAGTTCGAAGACACTAATACAATAGGTCAGACCTGGTGGGGATTTAGGCAGCTACTGACCATGTGCATCAGAAAGCAGAACGCAGAGTCTCCTGCTTTTGGGACAGCGAGTAAGATTTGAGTTGTAAACGTAGGTCTGTTTGCTTCCACGTCCGATGCTTTTTCCCACTACAGCACCTTGTCTTCCCTGCCATGCTGCATTTGCATTCTTGATTAGGACCAGAACCTTGATCAGAAAAATTTGCTCTAAGAAAGCCAGTTCTATTAAAATGTCAAAAGTTAGGTGAAAAAAAATCTTTTACAATGATCACCAAACTTGATTTTCACAGTTAATGTTGAAATATAATCAGGTTTTGTTGTTGAATCAGAAATGCATTAACCAAGACCAGATCTCAAAACATGCAGATGACTTTGTGCTGAATGAATCACCAAAGTTATGAATATTCATATCAGGCAGAAGAAGATGCATATCATGTGGTTGGCAAAACTGCTCAAGAAGTAAAGGTGAGATGGGAACCTCCTGGCTGTGGTGGTTAGGAAGGCTTGTGGTGTTAACCTAAAAACAAAACAAAACAACCGAAAAAAACAAAAATCTCTAAAGATGAGAAGAATGTGAGAATAATTCAGTCACTATTGGAGCTAAAGAATGAACCATGGCAGGCATGTGTTAAAAATATTTCTTTTTCACAAGGAGATGGAGTTTCCATAACCAGGATTCACCACCTCCCATCATCCTCTGAAATCTAGTCAAGAAGAATAATCTTACAAACAGATCTTAAACAGCTCTGATTTCTAAGTTCTGTATTAAAATCTCTAAGGCAAACGTAGATTTTGGAGACAGATAAAAGCAGGTTCTGTGCTCTGCCCCTGACCAACAGTGTAGCAGCTTGGGTAAGTCACTTATCCTTTCTGAAACTCAGTTTCTTGTTTTTGAGAGTGATAATCTGACTCTTGCAGAGTTACTGTGAAAACTCAAAAGAAGATAAATATAAGGCACTGAAAAAAAAGCTGGCCCAGTTCAATTACTAAGGTTGTGTTGATAACATCACAGATCTAAAAATAGCTGAGGGAACCCGCATGCATGTCAAACAACCAGACAGTTGTGCAAGTTGATAAATGCAGTACTAATATTGTCATAATGACATGAGTTAAGTAATAGACTGCAGATGACTGTCTATGAGCAACACTGCCAGAGAGAAAGAGACTGGAGGTGAGAAACCAAACATTCAAATCATATTTAGAATAAAAATTTAAGAAAGAGATATAAATGCTTACCACCTATCAATGAAGAATTTCATAGGAATTAATGAGCTAATGCTGGTTAGCATTTTGAAACTCAACGGAACAAAGAAGAATACATACACACACAATATTATCATATAAAGTTAGATTACGTATAAACTGAGTGGTGCAGAAGCGACATGTTCTTGCTCCTAACACAGTGTCTGTATTCCTCATCCTTGGTACAGAGGATTCCCTCATTTGGTCCAGATCTCTCAAAGTTTCCCATCAAGAAAGATTGTGCCCTGTATGCAAGGCTACAAATATCAGTACCTGAATTTAAATGACTCTCAATATTTGGGAATTCCTTTGAATTCTGTTTCTCTCTGTCTCTGTCTGTCTGTCTGTCTGTCTGTCTCTCTCTCTCTCACACACACACACACACACACACACACACACACATACACCAGAGAAAGGTCTAATCATGTGCAAGGCAACAGTTACATCTTCAAATGCTGCCCCAAGAGCATTAGCAAAAGGCACAGAAAGGAGACAGGAAGGAGAGGGGAAGGAGGCAGGGAAAGCATTCAGAATTCTGGAAAATTTAGAAGGGCAGCCACACATTCATACCATTAATCCAGGTGTTATAATCACCAGTTGTCGTCACTGGGATATTGATGTTTCTAACACTGGCTTACTTGGAGAATAATCAATAATTTGCAAACTGCAAAGCCCCAGTTACACACACACACACACACACAGAGAGAGAGAGAGAGAGAGAGAGAGAGAGAGAGAGAGATCGAGATCTTGATCTTCAGAAGGTGAGGCAGGCTTTCTTTCCATCCGGAGTGCCCAGAGGTGAGGACTACACTAACAGGCAATGATTGCCCACTGCAGTTCTCATCCACTCTTACCCTATAAATATGCTCTCTTTGACTTACTAGAGCTGTCCCTAAGTTTGTAGCAAGTAAAGGGGAACTCACTCCAGGAACGCCGGACTGCCTTAAAAGGTAACCCTCTCCCCACCACATTCCAGATACTTAGTAATATCCTACTCTTCCCCGGGTCTTCAACTCCACCGACCTTTGTGGCAAGAAGTAAGATTTACACAGGAACTTGGAAGTTACTTTCAGGGTCGGCGCTTGTAGAAAAAGATGAATGAAGGCACATCTTGTTACCTTCCTGGAGGAATGAAGGCACATCTTGGAGGTGCCAGAATTCCTGGGAAAAGTGGGCTGAGGCTTCACTTTGCACACTTCCCAAGTCAGAAGGTGGAGATGCCTTTCACCGGATGCTCCAGCCCACTTTAACTTTTACCACCCCTCACCCTTCGGCTCTCTGACCCCGCCCGTCACCACTGCTCTACTCACAGTGCAGTCGCGGTCAGACCCACGGAACGGTTTATGTGAGCGGACGTCCTCGTCATCGCTAACATGCTGCTGGTCACCGTCAGCTCCTCCATCCAGAAAGCCTGTGGCTTTCTCTTTCTTACTCCTGCTCCGGCGTTGTAGGCTTTGGCTGTCCAAAGCCCCCAGGGGTTCTACTCCGGCTCCACTGCTGCTCACCTCCGGCAGCGCTCAGAGCTGGCGGCGCTCTGTAAAGTGCAGGGAGTAGCAGGAGCCGGTCATCGCAGGTACTGGTGCGGGGGTCCTCGTTGTCGTGCCGTGGGACCGCGGGACACCCCAGGAGCCGCAGCCGCAGGCGCCCGGGGCGCGGAGGACCGAGAAGCGAGCGGCAGTTGCCAACTTTTCCCATCGCAGGAGCGGAGAGCAGCGGGGAAGGGGTGTCGGACCAGAGGTGGTTGCGCGGGGCTCTCCGCTGGCCGGCTGTGGGGGACAGGCGCACAGGACCCCAACTCCATCCAAGTTGGGCCGAGGTGGGGCGG